AGCAGCTGACAAACTTGATCCCACTCACAGACTCACCTCAGCATTGCTGCTTGCTCTGTCAGCAGATACTTAAACAATACAGGTCTGTATTCTAGCTTAACACCAGATCTTTGGATTTAGTCTGTTATATACGTAATTCTAAACATCATTGTAAGACAAAGACCAGCTGCAAAATTTCTTGGGAGGTTGGAAATACCAATGACAGGAATCACGCAACCACATGTTCCAACAAATGTGGGCTCTTCATATCCACTTCTACAAAGTGCCATCAATGTACGCAGTGATTCTGTCTTTCATTGACTTTAAAGGTGGTTTGTCAGCACTTTGCAAAGGATGGCCCTTTCAATGAATGTCAGCCTTGGGAATATGACAAAGAGCAGAAGTAAGAACCTATTCAATTTTAGTAAATTTTGTTAATACAGAAAGGGGAACTACAGGGATATAGAAGGATAATCTACATAGGTAAACATGTTTATAATAGAAAACCACATTTAATAAGTAGTTCATTTATTAATGACAACTTAAAAAAAGATCATTACCACCGTAGTGGAAAGAGCATACTGTGATTATGGACTAATAAGAAAAACTTAGTTATTATAAGTTTCATGTCTCAATAAGAAATTCAATGCAGTTTATGATAAAACAGATAAAAACAATGAAAAAAAGACATCTGCACTGTTATTTCTATTGTGTTACCAATAAGAAATGACACGAAATACTCTTAAGAAACGCAAAGGTTTGTTAAATATGTACTGCGATTTTTATCACGTTCATCATGAAGTCAGAATTTATCAGACTGTTAAGGTAAAAACAGACAAGGAAAACATTGTTATATATATAAAAATTTTAAAATCTGAAATATAGAGAATCTTATTTTTTAAATGGAATTTCGTTTGGAAGCCCCACAGTTGCCACCTCACAGCTTTCTTTCTTCCTGTATTTTACACTGGGATCTCTTGCAACAAGCAACCAGTAGGTGGAGCAGGCAACATCACTTATCGCGTGATAAGAAGGCCATGGACTTGACTGTTGGGTTTTTTTTCATAATTAGGAAATCATGTAGGAGAAATCTCCAAACAAAAGAAGCTCATGTGTGTAAGATGTTACTTGACTAGTTATTGATACTACTGACATATATAGCAAGTTGATTAAAAGCTCAATATTTCATGACGTTTTAGAGCTCATGCTTTATTTTTCCAGACGCTATTTGGCAACTAACTTAATTTAAATCAAATAAAAATTTACTTTCTGTTTACAAGCCCACTCTTAACTCTACAAATAGGGTTATATTTGTGTTGCGTGGATACTACTGGTACTACAGAAAAAAAATATGTAGCTGTTTTTTAGTAAAGCAAAAAACTGTTTTGAAGTTGGCAGGATGCATAACATTGTACTTTCACAGAAAGACAGTCAATAATTATATTATTAATATAAATTATTAATACATATTATTAATAACAGCAAATTAACATTACTACTGTTAGTAATCATTGATTATGCAAACATCCTAACTTGTTTAACTTCCTTTTCTTTACACTTCTTTGCTAAAATACTGACATTCTTTTGTTCAAATTAACTGCTTAGTTCTGATGTGGATTAAAATGTTTGTGTAAATGTAATGTATTTCTACAAGTAGCAATTTGGATAAGTTTCTATGGTAAAATACACTCCATCAACTGTTTGCAAAAAATATAGGAAAATTTTAAAGTATACTGTAATACCATACATTTTTTATCATCCAGTGATTTCCCTGAACATCAGTTTCATAGCAATGGTACTCAATACACACACGTCCCTCCCCAGAAAGTGGGGAACTGCAGATAAAACAACCTAAATGTAGGTATGCCTATATAATACTTTGTAGGCAGATCAAACTTCTTGTTCCTGAGTTTAAAGCATGAACACACTTATTCTGCCCATATTTTGAGCTGACCAGAAGCTGTGTAACTGCATTAATTCTTGAGCTAATACACTGTGGCTCTCAACAGGGCTAATTAGTTTGGGTTCAGCCCCATGTTATAGCTCCAGATTGGCTTGGAAAGTAATCAAAGCAAGCTCACATCTGTCTAGATAAGACTATGTGTATATACCTGGTACGAGTAACAACAAATAATGCATACTAATTCAGAGTTCGATATCCATTTATTCCTCTTTTTTTTTTTTTTTTCCTTTATAAAGGTAACAGTTTATGGAAGAAATAAATGCTTGAATAGCAAGTTAATTCATGAAAAAGACAAAGCGTTGACTTCATCACAGGCCATGCTATTATCGACATATTAGACACCCCTGTACATTCATAACACTAGCATATTTAAGTTTTACTTTTTGAAATGTAAAATAATGCTAGCAATTAGGAATGGGCACAGCCTTATACATACATACATACATACATACATGTATGTATATATGTATATATAATCTGTGGAATAAGAAAAGCAAATCCTGCAACCAGTAAACGATTCATAGACTTTAAGGCCAGAAAGGACCACCGTATCATTTTCTACATTGTGCCATGCTATGATGTTTGATCATCTCCCTGTTTAACCTGTAACACACTTCTGAGATGGGTTTCTGGGCTTCAGCTTGTAGGGAGTGGAAAATGGAACTTGACATGCCTTTCTTTACTAAAGTTGAAGAGCAGCAACTCCTTAATTCCTTTTGATCAATAAGTAAACACCATTTTCTCACCCTTTTTGCCTGTAGTAAAACAAAGAGATTCAAAACTATAGGATATATTTGAAACAATTATTGCAAATACAGATTTTGCAATGCTGTCTATATAATCTGCCTGAACATCTACAGCCTTGATGCATGAGGTGGCTTAGCTCCATCACTGCACCTCGTTATGCATGGCAGGAAGGGGAGGAGATCGTAGCAAACTTTAGCAGATCATCTCTAGAACTCATCAGGCTTTAGTTAATACATGACTCTACAATAAGTCCAGCTCATCAACCTCCTCTTTTCATTTTCTATGCCCCCTGCTTACAAATTATATTTTTTCCTTAACTTACTCAAAAGTGTTGACTTTTGCTGCCTGGTTCTACTGAGACATGAAGGCATCTTGCTCACTAATCCAATTAACTATCCTTTGAAGACAGCAAGACAAAACTGTAGTCAGGTCAGAAGACCAGGCATATAGAGAGTAAAACGTCAGACACAGAGCATCAAACCAGTAAATTCTGCACTGAAATAATTTGCCTTGAATCTTAGCAAGATATCAAATTCTATAACTATGTGCAGTTGTGGAATACAGACTTTGATTACAATAAGTAGTTTACTTCACATATACCTTTGTTGGTTTTCAGGTTGTCTGTAGGTGTTGCATTGATTTACACTCATTCATGTTTCAAAATACTACCTACAAAAGAAGATGGGTTTTGGAGCACAGTTCTGTGATAAAGGAAAAATTCTGTGAGCTCTGAGTCCCAGTATTCACAAACTACCTCAGCAAGCAACACCAAGCATATTTTTGTTCTGCAAAACACTGGTAGCTAAATTCTAATTCTGTAAAATCAGAAACCCATATTCATCAGAATGTAATAGTTCCTGCTTGCCCTCTACCAGCAGTCCTCCAGGTGGATGGCTGAAATACAGCACTACTTGCCATTCCTTAAAATGTGTTACAGTTTGCTAAGCCAGTATCATCAGAAGTGAACTAAGTTTACTAAAATCTTTTTAGACCGTGGGTCACTCAATGGCTCTAACCAGACAATTTTTGTACTCCAGGTAAATATATAAATGTTTATGCATTTGTTTACATAAATTGTTCTGTTCAAAACAAGAATTCCCAATTTTCTACAGTTTGAAACAATATAAAAACACTGTGCAGATTATTCTTAATATTCTAAATCTAAATCTAGACAGACTATTGTGAGCTAATTTCAGTTATTAACTAGCTCCTCTGTCTAAAAGCCACTCAGAAAACTTTTAATGCTATTTTTTACTAATATTTTACTATGCTATTTTTTTTTCAAATAAAATTACTTAAATTTTATTTACAAATTGAGTTTTCATAACTGATATCCAGTGAATTAAACTATATTTCTATTTATTGGCTAGATCATAAATGATTTGTAAACAGAGGGAAAGATTAAATATTCTGTCGCTAAGTGTCATGGCATTTTTCCTGTGTTCTTTAGGATTAACTGTTCTTACACACAGATTATAATTAACAACCTATGAAAAGGAAGGACTTAGTTCACACTAGCATACCCTGATTGCATGTTAATTGCTTATTCATACGAAGAATAACCAGTCACCAAACATTTATGGACACAAAATTTTTTTTTTTTACAAAAGTTGACAAAAGGAGACTAAAAAAGGCAAACCCACAAGCTTTACCAATCATATCAATTTGGTATAAGATACATCTACTGCCATATTCACCTGTCTGTAAAGCAGCTTACATAAGAAAGCCTGCAAAAATATACCACTTTTATCAATACAAAACAAATTAATCAGTAAATATTTAAAATTTATGAGGCATTTCTATGTGAAAACAATCACGCTAAATAAGCTGATTCAGGCAGTTCTAGGAAAAGCTTTAGCTGAAAACCTGCATTTACAATCTATCCTAAAAACAAGCAGAACACAGCATCAATCCAAGCATTAGCTCAATTAAAAAAAGGAAAAAAAATGAATTCCCTTCTCAGCTTAATAACTTGTTAGTTCTTGACAAGTGCAACAACACAACAATAAGCCAGTCAAAATGAGTTTTTAAAGCGAGGTTATGCCCTTCGTGTTGTGTTATCACAGTGGCAGATCAAACTGCTGACTTGGACTCTTTCTGCCAGCAGTGCTGATGCTGCCTCTATGAAGCTGCTGTCACAGAATAGTCATGGTACCTGCTCTTGCCTATAGAAAAGCACTAAATTGAACTCGAAGTAGTGTCTTTGTGATATCTTTTCAACAAGTCATGTCCCATTCAGCCTGCTAGTTTATCTCTGTCAGGCTGGGGGCCCAAGTGGTTTGCATGAGCTGTCAGGGACAGGTATACCAACCTGCTCAGTGCTAAGGAGGTAATGCATCTTTCGGGCTTGGTATTCCTTTTCCTTTTCTTTCTTTTCTAGGTCTTTCCTTTTCTCTTCATTTTCCTTCATTTCTGCATACTCTTGGAGTTCTTTCCTGTAATATAATAAGTCTGCTAATTATATTACAACAATAAAAGACGTGCTAATGTTTTATTTTACTTTAACCCTTTTATAGCTTCACAGTGTTCTGCTATTATGTATTAGCAGTATACTGACACCACTGGAATGCAAAATTACAGTTCATTCAGTTCTACAGCAGCAGGATTCTACATGGATATAACTTTGAAGAAATAGGATTAAAATGATAAAAACTATGAACAGTATATTAGTTCACGTTGCTTACTCTCTTGAAGAATATGTCAGCCTACGTATTTTTATAGCTTGAAAAAATAGCATTCATAGATGTCCTTTTTTTGTCTTTAAGAGTCATTTTAGTTTGAATTTCTCTAAGCAGAAGTTATTACAATTTAGTGATTTTCCTTCAAATTGTTTCAAAATAAAAGTTGTTCACCTATGTTTCAGCTAGTGCCTTGCAACACTTCCTTCTGATCTGCAAACAGGGGAGACGTTATGGAATGAGAGAGGATAGTAAACACAGGATAAGAGTTGACATTCACCCCTAGATCCTTGAGCCTTTTGAAGGTTTCAGAATGAAGGTTTGAAGAACCGGATGTAAACCTTTTATGCGTGCAGTGCCCATAAGAGGAGTTTCCATAGCATTAGGCTTCTTGCACAGGTCACTTCCTACTCTGGTCTGATAGCAATGGTACAGGCTACCACAAGAACCAAGAATGTAACTGCCGCATGAGTCACTGCATGACCGAGGTCTGCAAACACATAGTGTCATCTAAATGGGTGGGTCTATGTATTCAAGAGGTCGTAGAAAATTCTTTCATGGTAAGAGAAATAAGAAACTGTACCTAATACCAGCTCTCGAAGAACGGAGAACACTCATGATTTTAACTGAATATTTAGAGGAAAACTTTAACAGAAAATGGGTGTAGATTTCCTTCTCAATGGTTTTTTTTCATAGAGCCAGGCTTCCCATAAATTATGCAAACAGTGGAGTGAATTAATGTTCTATAAGAAACAAAATTCTGTGCTATTGTGCACAGTGCACGCGTATGGAATTTTTTTGACCCAGTTAAAAAGGTTAGTTTGATTAACATTTGTTATTTTTGTTATTAAGAAATGGCTAGTTCAAATTAACCTGTGTGGCAAAGACACCAAGCATATTCAGTCAAGCATTTAGATTGTTTAAAAGTTAATTAAGTGAGTAAATGCTAGTCTTTATTTTTTTCAAGCATGTGTGTATACGATAAAATAAAAAGCAAAGAAAAATATACTATTCACATATCTGGATAATTCAAATATTCCAGCAAAACAAATTATTTAGAGAGGCCCACATTAATGGTCTCAGTTGTTTCAATGAGTACCAAATAAGACACTCTAGGACAAGGGTCAAATCCAGTCAAAATATGCACATAAATAAGTTTGCTGATATGAATAATCCCATGGGAAAGTCATATTGCTCCTGAAAGTGTTTTTAAGATTGTGACAGACTTATTCTTAATATTTTAATCACCATAATGTTAAATTAGTTCATCAAAATATGTGAAAGAGCAATAATTTCTTTATAAATATGAACACTATGAAATCACATTCTTAAATACAAGTTGCAATGTAGAATTTGTATTTGTTTCATGCTATCTTTCAAGTTTTTATCAACTAAAATAAGTAAAATATTAAGTAATTAAACATGTTTTATTTCAAATGTAAAAGAAAAAATAGAATGAAAAGGAAACAAATTAAAGATTGGAAAAGATGTATAGGTCTGTTTCAATCTCTGGAAATATTTTTTGTTGCAGTTTACTGTTAAAGGCTGCTAATACAATATTTCATACAAGGTTACTTATGAAGCACACTGACGTTTAAAAATCACCATGCTATGCTTTTGCAGCAGTGTAATTTTTTTCCAACATAAGATTAAATTGCAAAATAAATGAATTACTTAGAGTGGCATGGCCCCCATTTTGCCACCCTTCTCTTGAAAATTGCTTATTAATATGAAAAAAGAAGTTGGAAAATAGCCTGTTTTACTTTATGTATAGCATTTCGGGGCCTCAAAGCCTGCAGAGCCGGACTAGCTGCACATTTTAGATTGTGTTGGCAAACGGGAACGATGACCTTTCTGACCTGCATCTCAAGGCTATTATTAATCGCTAAGTAACCTGGTAAAGCCAAACAAATTTGTTTCCATTGAAAGGATCTCTATCTGTGTCTGAGAATTTGTGCTGTACCAAACAAACCTCATTAACTGTGTCCATTTTTGACAAAGAACTAGGAGTTGGAGAGATTGGCGACCTTTCTTTGTCCTTAAGGTAAAGATTTCAGAGTCACTGCATGTAGGTACATAAGCATTTTTACTTGGAAACTCTTTGTTCTAGATCAATCAATCATAAACAAATTAATAAATAGATTATGCATATAGTATCAACTTTGTTCTTTTATTTTATGCCACTTTACCTTCAATATCAGAGTGCATGATCCATGTTTTACATATTTAATGCTATTTCTTGTTCCTTTTTGATTACAGAGTCCTCTATTCTGCTTTAGTACTGCTACCTATATCTGATGAAATGTCTCTCAACATATTACTACAGTTTATTCATGTTCTGATATACTCATGTACTTCTTCCCAACAGTGGATATGGAAGCTTTGTTATTTAGAACACAACTGGTGATGAAAACCCCCAAATAATGATAACAATATAAATTTGTTTTACAGATTTAATGATAATGGGATGCAAAATATTTCCCATTGTCATTAATCTGAATTTACCAGATTACTTTGAATGAATGATTAATAATCATTATTTGCTGAAATTAAATGAAGTCTAACATACTTGTTGAAGTTCAATGCAATTCATGATCTTTTTAGACAGTACTATCATCCAAATCATCATGATCCTTCCTGATTATCACACATCCTCATTAATGCTGTACCATAATCCATTTAAAAGTCTGAGGTTTTTTAAGCAGTTACAAATAATTTTCAACATCCTTCTGCAGCCTACACATTTTGTCAGTTGTGCTAAAATATTTCTATCATGCATTATACTGCTCTGTACAGTTGTACAGAACATGCAGACAATTCTATCTCGGGGATAATAGCTCCCAAGATGATTCTCTCCTGAGAGGCAGTAGAAAATAAGGGTTATGTGGTAGTCCAAACATTGCTTGACTGGAAAGCATAGATGCTTCAGCATAAATATAGATTTATTCTAAAGCTATTTGAGCCTGAAACTTTCATCTCTTTTACCATACTTTCAAGAATTTGAATAGGAGCAACAAAAGCAGAGAATCTAAAAGTAGTTGGATATGAATATATTATTTCACACATTAATACTAACACGTTATGCACTGTGCAGGGGGTTTCACTGTTACCATACAGAAAAATGTGTATAAGCATACGTGATACTAAAGACATAAACTTAGACTTCCAAACAGAGTTAGACTTCCAGATAGCTTACATGTAAATGTGTTTATTGAGAAGTTTCATGCTCATGACCTTCTACATGTATGCCTTCCCAGAGAAAATAAATCCAAATTCCATTAAAGTCCATTGAAAATTTGTTGAAATTAAATGATCTTTAGATTAAACCCTTACACTTACTGCCAACCTTCTTTTGCTCGTACATATCTTAGGTTCATTGAGCAATAGTAAGCAATCTATCTTTTCTTGGGACAATATGACATTATGAATACTAGCTATGATGCATGATACTCTGTGGACTCCAGACCAAATTTGCTTCAGGATGAACCTTTCATGATTCAGTGTGAAATGGGAGAATTAAATATGGGAAAATTGTTTGGTCTGTGTTTTTAAAGCTTCACCAAATTTTTGGGGAGGAAAAGAGTTCTGTAAACACAAAACATGTTTTAGGTTAATTAATAATCTTGTTCTATTTTTATAAATGATCTGTCTGTTGCATGCCTCATAGTTGGAATAGTACTGCTTACTAAACTGTTATAACTGAAAAAGTGGGTAATTTTTTTAGCACATAATCTTTTCATTATCTTAAAGGTTACCTCAGTATATTAACAGCATCTACTGCATCTTCCTACAAACCTGGCTCCCCATATAAGCTTAATCCAATCAGACTTTCTCCCACACAGATTTCTATGGAATATCTTTGTAGAGGAAATATGTGTAAGTTTTGACAAATGGGGTGTCTTATCATGATCTGAAAATTGTTCAACAAATCAGAAGAATATCAATGTTTATTAGCAAAAGTTTAGGATGCATTCTTTTGTTAAGAAAGTGAATATACTGGGTAACACAGTGTGTTTTTCTTGTCATAGGGAATGTTTTGTGTAGTTGAAAATAGGCATAGCATTATCAATGTACGTGCTCAAAGCCCACAATTAAAAATGATCTTGTGTAACAAATCTGTGAAGTAGCTATTGATTTGTTAATTATAAAATTATTTGTTTTATATAGTTTGAAAAGAAAACATTTTCATCTGACAATGTAACTTAATGTTATTCTGATACTTCATTATGCAGTAGGCAGTGGTGTTGGTTCCAGCTATGAGATGCAAATTTGGTTGACAGTGCTCCTGCTGTCTGTATAAAGGTTAAAAATACACATATAATATTGTTCCTGGCACTTTTGGAAAGGTCTTCAAGTGATGATTTCAGCAATATACAGATTTTCATAATTCTGCATAGAACTGCATCATTTTGCAAATTCACACTGACCTACATTTATTGAACTTTATCAAACTATTGCGTTCTGTTTGCATTTTCACTGGCATTCTGTGGTCCTTCCATAACATTATAATATTAACTAATGTAAAGGGCATCTGAGAAAATCAATAATTAGTATAGTTGCCTAGAGTACCCAGAAAGAGTATGAAGTTATTGGGATTTTAAACAGTTCAGACCCCAAATCATAAAATTCCTGCAACATAGGCAGCAGGCAACCTTAGCATAAAAGGAGATACCTAAATTGATTTTACCTTCCTGACTATATATCATCCTCCCTGTTCAAATAGAGAATATGGAAGTGAAAATGAAATTAGTGGGACA